ACATATACTACACAAAGTTCCCTCCAATTGTTAGTGAACTGAAAACACCATGAATCAAAACGAAAGAAGTAAATAGGATTGGGACTAATGTCCAGGTCATGCTAACAATCATTGCAGCACATATTAAACATGTTGAAATATTATGTATACCTTGGCACACCCCTCGGCAATCTGAGCAAGGGCAATCAACGCAGCATGGTGCTTTTGCCACTCAGGTGCAGCCAGGTAAGCCGGCAACTGCTCTGATGCAACTGGAACAATAGTGTTTCCACCCAAAGAAATTGCCAATCGATCTAAACACTCCTGCCCGACACTGTAATTGCTTGATTCTCCAGCATCCTCATCCTCAGTTTCTGCAGTGTGCCATGCTGCATCATCCTCAATATCCAAAAGCATTTTCATTAGTATTGCAAATAGCCTATTAATAAATTGTGGCAACTTCCTCATCATTCCTGGTGCACGCTCTCTTGCTTCTGCCAATGTAACCACGAACTCGATCGACAAATGACGAGTGCCTTCCTCAAGTGATTCAGCTTCTGCTATCTGCAACATTGATCCCACCACATCAACAAGCTGTCTTCTAAGAAACCGTGGCTCAGTCCCGGCCAACTCAATCAGCAACTCAAGGGCCTCTTGTGCAGTTGCCTCGTTCCCGTTATTTAATGCCTCTGTCAACGTCTTCATCATTGCTGGCAACAAATCCTGAAATCTATCCCGATCAGTTGAACAGTCCAAACACTGAACAAAGTTTGTTACCGCATTCAAAGCAGCAATTTTGACATCGGCATTGGTACTTTCACTCAAACATCTCAAGAACACAGCGTGGAGATCCTTTATAAAAGGAGTCAACACATCCCCGATATACTGACTCAACTGTGCAAATATCAAAAACGCAGGTTCCTGCAATTTAGGGGAATCCGAAGAAACACACTGAAACATAAACGGCAAGAGCTCCGGCCAGCCATTCTCGGGCAAAATACCAGAAGCGAGCTCCGCAACAGTATCGCACAACTTTTTAGACAAATTTTTGGCAGTTTCCACTTGGATTTGAGACAAAAGCACGGATTTGATCGAGGACTGAGTGCTAATGTTGAGGCGAGGCCAGATATAAGAGTCGTCACGCGTCAACAACTTACGGAGGAGAATACAGGACATGGCCCGAGTCTCGGGTTGATTGCATACTTGGAGGAGATGTGCGAGGCGGAGACAGAGCGCGTCGGGGTCGGATTGCTTGCATAGATTAAACAAGGCCTCTGCGTGAGAACGTTGCTCGTTCGAGGATGACATCAAGTGGGAGACTAGGGTTTCGAATGGAGCCGGGTCGGGTCCCAAGATGAGGGCGAGCTGCGATTGCTGGTCCATGGCGGCCAAGGAGAAGGAGGAGGAGGAGAAGGATATGGTGGATTGATTCCTTAGTCGGCCCTTTTGATACGGTTTCTGTAATTATGCCCTTGAGAGGGGGAATTAAGGATTTTAAGAGAGAGAAGCAACTAGGGCTGACGGAAAGTTTACAGCACTTTAATATACAAATAATAAAATGCGACATCGAAAATATTATTATTTTTAATATTTTTGATAAAAAAAATTATTTAAAATATTATTATTTTTATCAAAAATATTATTATTAGTCATCTTATCGGGTTTGTTAATATATCTGATAAAACGTTACTTCAAATATTATTTTTTTATAAAAAATGTTAATATGAAACACTTTTGAAAATTTTAAAAAACATTAATGTTTTAAATAAAAAATAATATTTAGATAATTTTTTACTGAAAATATGAAAATGATAATAATATTTCTGATAACTTTTTTTTCTAATCGTAAATTAAGGTTGCTAAAGTTTATGTTGATAACAAAAATAAAGGGGGTTGATTAGTTATTAAAAATATATATTCTAAAATCAATTCTTTCTTTTGATTAATTATTGAAATGTCATTCTCAAAAATAATAAATAAAATGTGGAAATGTATTTCAATTGATGAGTAAAAAAATTGAATCTTAACGTTAAGTTGAAAATATTTTATGATAATAAGCAACATATAATTATTATTTATTATATAACATACGAACATTTATAAACTTCTTCTAAAATTGAAATATCTTTGAATGACATTACAGTTATATGAGCAATGTACCTATGAAAAATTGAAAAACCTTGAATGATAATCTCTTAATGTGCCCTGTAGACACCTATCTACTCTGAACTTTCTTTTACAACCGACAACTTAACATTCATGTGCTTCAACTTCAATGTTTTTCTCATGTTATTGAAATAATGGATTGTAATTTTATACAGATAAGGGTAGCTCACAACCTGTTCATCACGTATTGATCCCATTCTTGCAATCTCTGGTTAAGTTGTAAAAGGTTCCTACTCGTGTATTTGCCCGGTAAAATACCTCCGTGTCCACAGCGACTCTCATAGGCCTGTAAATGAACTGAACGTTCAGCGAACCGTTCATGAACCGTGCGGCGGGAAGTTCGTTTATGTGCGTTTATTTAATAAATGAACGAACATGAACAAGATTTTGTGTTCGTTTAATTAAATGAACGAACATGAACATAGGCCTCGTTCGTTCATTTACGTTCGTGAACGTTCGGTTATGTTCGTTCGGTTATGTTCGTTTATGTTCGTTCGGTTATGTTCATTCATTTATGTTTAACCCAATCTTCTTAAATCAATTTTGGTGACCAATTTGTAAGTATCTTAAAAATATTAATTAATCTGATATTCTGATGACCAATTTCATAATTAACCCAATTTTATTTGGAAAATCCAACAATATTAACACGGTTTAGTTCTTTTTGAACGATCCATAAGCTGCATACCCAGCACCGTCAACATCTACTGCGCCGGAACCCTATGTGACTGCACCACCAGCTAGTTATCCGATGAGCAAAGAGGAGTCCCAAAAACCGGTTGCTTTCGAAACCAAGTCCAAAGGTGATGGATTATGGAAGGGATGTTAAGTATTAAGCACCGTTTCTTCTACTCAAATAATCTTCTTTTCTTTCATATATAATGGAGTATTCGAATTTACAAGTAAATAGTGATCAACCAGCAACTCAAGTCAGCTTACTTTGAACTCAAGAACCCAATAATGGTGAGGCCTTATTACATAGGTTGAGAAGTTCTTTAACGCGTTTAATCAAACAAATTTTGTGCACCATCCGGATATGAAAGTTTAGCCAGCCGAGAAAGAATGGTTTTTGATGTATGAGTTGGTGTGAACAATAAACCAACATACTTCTCTCATCTCCCAATTTTCAACTTCTACATAGCACAAAGCTAAGGACATGGTTGTTTGATCCCCATGGATTAAGGTCGGCAATCACATGAAACACAATCTGTGTTCATATCGACTGTTGTTGAAGGAGATAAGAAGAAAGAAAGTGGAGGAACGTTATGCAATCCGACATCAGTAGCAAACAAGCAGCTCGGGGTTGGTAACTTATATAAAAGAAGATGGGGGAGAATAGGTTTAAGCATATTTGCGCTTGGGGCAATGTCGAGCTCGGAATCGAGCTTGAATCGAGCTCAGAATCGAGCTCAGAATCGAGCTTGAATCAAGATCTTAAATTTTTTTTGAGTTCGAGTCGAGTTTCAATATTATATTTCGAGTTCGAGTTGAGCTTGATAATTTTAAGCCCGCGAGTTTTCGAGTCAAGTCGAGCTGACTTTGAAAGTTTTCGAGTTCGAGTCGAGCTCAGCAATACTCGAGCTCGACTCGGCTCGTTTATACCCCTAGGTAGGGTCTCCAACGTTTATGTTCGTTTATGTTCGTGTTCATTTATGTTCGAGTTAGTTTATGTTCATGTTCGTTCATGTTCGTTTATTTATTAAATGAATGAACATGAACAAGTTATATTCCTTAATAAACGAACATGAACAAAAAATATTTTGTTCGTTTATGTTCGTGTTCGTTTATGTTCATTTATTTATTAAATGAACGAACATGAACATACCTCCGTTCGTGTGCGTTCGGTTCGTTTACAGGCCTAGACTCTCATGTATCCATCAAACTCGATGGGTTTTTTATCTTTCAGCTGTGTCGTCTCGTTGTACCACTCACTCGCGTTGCTCCATAATTTCTTGTAATCATCAAGCAAATGGACCTTGTATTGAGAGTTAAATTTATCAAAGTAATTGTAGAATGGTTCGTTCGTTGCTACGTAAAGGTATTTTTATCTCTTAACAGTTAAATCATTAATTTATCGGATTAGATATGAATTTTTAGGTATTTATTGGCACCATAATTTGATTTTCATTTTAAATGAATAAGATGATCACATGCACATTAGTCTCTTGCACCGTAGTTTCTCTTTGGCTCATTTTTTTAGCTCAATTAGGAAATTATATATGTATATGCTTAGATGCACACATATATTATAAAGTAAAATTTATTTTCATAATTTAAACTTTTTTATTTTTATATATTTTAAATTATTTAATGAGTGAAAATAGATAACTAAAAATAAAAGATTTTAATTTATACTTAATATTAAAAATTTAGTATGAATCACTAAATTATAATTCAATGATTCAAAGCATATAGGGTTAAAAAAGAAATTACATTATATTCGTTAACAATTAATTCAATTTGAAACAAATCAGTTAGTCGAATTAATAAAAAATATCAAATATATTATACATATTAAATACATATTTAAACTTAAATCAATTAAGAATTAAGATTTAACTATTTTTTTCACACTAAACCATTAAATTGTCAAAGACATAACTAAATTTTAATTAAAAATTACTAAAAAATTAATAAATTAGATCGATCAAATTAACTGAATTTAGTTCGATTTAATTAGTTATTTTAAAAAAAAATAATTTGATTAATAATTATTTTATTCAATTTTAAAAATTTTAATTCGGCCCAGTAGTATGGGTTCTAGAATTGGGCTGCCTCGCCGAACTACATAGGTCCAAAATATTCAAAACATTCGCAATCTATGAATTAGCATGAAAAGCGTGGCGCGAGCAAAGAGAAGGTAACCTAGAGTAGAGACGCTATATGGCAAAAAGGGAAATTCCAGAGATCTATTTTATCATCCCATTTTCCTAACCCTAGCTTCACCCCTCTGCCTTTGCCGCTTTCTTCAAACTCCGCCTCCGCCTGGTTTCTTCCATCTTTTAATTCTAGGGTTTTGCAGATAGGTGCACTGTTTGCATTTCTTATCCCCCCATAAATGAGAGGCAGGAGTTATACTCCATCTCCGCCCAGAGGCTACGGCCGTAGAGGGCGGAGCCCTAGTCCCAGAGGCCGTTACGGTGGTCGTGCTCGCGATCTTCCTACGAGCCTTTTGGTTCGCAACCTCCGCCATGACTGCAGGTTTCTTTTGCTCTCAGATCTTATTTCTAATGCATTTTGAAATTTGAATTATTATTAATTCATAGGAAATTTTGTTTTTCGTCTCCCATTGTTGAATGAATCATTAAATCGTAGCTATTTTTCAGTGTGGAGATTATTTATTGATGCGAACTTTTAACCCGTTATTTTTTTCTCTGATAATGTAATGGATAAAATTATTGACTATTTTCTTTTCTACCTGCTGCATTCTGATATTGATTTTTCTCTTTTGCAGGCCTGAAGACCTTCGTAGGCCATTCGAAAGATTTGGCCCTCTTAAAGATATTTATCTGCCCAAGGATTATTATACTGGGTAAGGTTATATTTGTTGCCTTATGAATGTTTCAGTTGTTTAGTTTAATTTTTTTAACCTTACCACAGGTTTTGTGTGGGATAGGCCATCATTAGCCATGTTTGGCGACTTTTCATTCTTTTTGGAACCACAGAAACTCTTGTGTGTTAACCTTTTTATTTTCAATTTCCACGATGTACTTCATTTTCATTCATTTTTATGATTTCTTTTACTGTAGAAAATTCGTAACTTTGATATTCCATTTAGGTTGGCCTTGGGAAATTTGTGGTTCTTCAAAATTCTCTTCTCTAATTTAGGGGTTCAAGCCAAGTTTTAAAAACCCATCTTTTTTCTCTATGCTTTTACCAAGCACGCCCTGCTCTTGCTCCTTCATCTGAATAGCCATTCTGATGTTGGGACATTTCTTTAAGTATACTCGTTTGTAATCACAAATTGGGTGTGTTAATTTGAAGTTCTTGAGGTTTAACAGTGAAAATAAAGTTTTGAAGACAACAATGTAAATAGAGTTCTTTTGAAGATGATGTTAGTGGTAGTGACGATTGGAAGAAAGTTGGTTGGTTTGAATACATTGTGAAGATGTTCCAAGTCTTGAAGATTTTCAAGTGATCTTTAAATTGATACTTGCAATGTTAGCAGGCAAGTCCTTGTTAGATTTAATTTTCTTTTGTTGCCTTGAAGTTACGCTTCCATGTAATTCTTCAGGGAACCTCGAGGGTTTGGTTTTGTCCAGTATGTTGATCCTGCTGATGCTACTGAAGCTAAATACCAGATGGATGGGCAGGTTCTTCTTGGTCGAGAGTTGACCGTTGTCTTTGCTGAAGAAAACAGGAAGAAACCTACTGAAATGAGGCACAGAGAACGAGCAAGGTACAATTTTCAGCATATTTACCGAGCTGTAACATATGTTTTTGACAGTTATACAACACATTCTGTTTCCTTTATTTGTCAAGGGCAAGCTATTTTGTTGTCTGGCTTCCAAAAAAATGTCGTTTTACTAGATTTTGAGCTTGCATCCATTTGAGCCTTTCCAAAGATGACCTCATAACTGGTCTAGTTTACTTTTTTTCCCCTATAATAATTAAGAGAATGTAGGAATATTTTAATTTACTTAAAATTTACAACTTCCTTTGGGGGAGATGATATATAGTAAAATGGTCTTATTGAGATGCTTGTGATATTTTGAAGTAACATTATTTTTAGTTGTAGGTAGCTTATCTGCGTGTCTTAGGAGCAATGTTGATATGCTAATATCCATGTGTATTTAGTAGGTTCAATATTCTTAGAGCTGTATGTTTTTGTAAAAATTTGTGATGCTAAACATATTCATAAATGGCATGGAGCAAAGTAATTTCCTAGGATAGTTTGGATTTGCCTTACATTTCCTCGGAAATTGTTATGATCTTTCCTTGTCTCTCAACCTTCAATGTTTTCTGCACCAGTGGAGGTCAATATCGTGATAGGAGAAGGTCCCCTCCTCGATACTCTCGCTCGCCACCACGTCATGGAAGATACCAGTCTCGAAGTCGTGATTATTCTCCTCCTCCTAAAGATAGGCATTACTCAAGGTAGTGGATGTGTTTCTTCCTCAACTCTAAAACCTCTTAAATACCCTCTTCTTCATAGGCTTATGGTTAACTCCATGATGTTTGCTCCATGCAGATCTCCTTCACCGCAAGGACGCTACAGCCGAGAGAGGTATTCACGTTCTCCTCCACCATACAATGGCTCAAGGAGCCGGAGCCGGAGTCTAGACAGGGGCCAGGGTCCCAGCCAGGGCAGAAGTCGCAGCCCAGTGAGCCCAAGGGAAGTTAGAAGCCCAGTGAGAGGCAGAAGCCGGAGCCCAAGAGAAGTTGGAAGCCCATTGAGAGGCAGAGGCCAGAGTCCATACCATGAGGAGTACAAGAGGGAATTAAATGGAGAAAGGTCTCCTAGTCAATGATATCTGTGCTGCAATCCTTTTTATGGTTTGGTGTTTAAACTGAAGTTTGTTAGGATAATTTGGTGGATTTAAGAGTCCAACTGGTAATGCCGAACATGGAATAGGGGGTGCTGAAATATTCTTTATTAAGGGCCTATGTTAACTAGTACTGAAAGTACTTTTTTGGTGATCCTTTTCTTTTGGTGCAACTTTTGAATTTATGCTGGTATGGTATCATTAGCTTATTGTGGATGAAATTAGTGCTTCTGAGATATTATTCTTTACAATATTACTCACTTTTAATCGCCCCCCTTAGTGAAATCATAAATGTTTAGATCTGATGAATTAATTTACATCTGGGTTCCCTTGTTAACGTGAGTGCCTAGGTTCTCATGTCTTATAAATTAAGGTGATACCATTTAAATTCTGGAGCATTAATTTTTTTTATCTTGTTAACGTGTTCTCATCTCTTATATATCTTTAGAATTTAATTTACATGTCATATGTTTTAGATCATTTAAATTGGTATTTAGATTAATAAACAATTAATAAATAAACACTATTATTTAATTAAATTAAAATCATGATTAAAGTGATAAAATATTTAAATAATAAAGATGATGTATGTAATAATATATATTCATTTAATTATCGTATTTATTTTTTTGTTAATTAATTACTGTGTCAGTTTTTTCGTTAATTATTAAAAATAATAATTCAGTTGCTATTATTTAAATAATTAAATAATTTAATTATAAAATTAATATAGCAATTATAAAATTAGGATCCCATAATTAATTGGCTATTCAAGAAGTTTACACTTGTAAGAATTACACCCATAACGACAAGCTTGATACCTTGTACTGATTTCAAAAGAAATTGATTAATTTAATAATTCATTTATTTACCATACAGTCCCCAAACAAATATTCTGATGCTTTCCTCTGGCAATATTTTCCATTTCATATAAATTATTGCAAAAAAGATAACCCAAAAAACAATAAAGGTGGCGTTTCGTTCGCTGGAATGTTTATGAGAGAATTAGAATCTGTGAAGGAATTGGAATTGGAATCCAATTCCATATTCTGTTTGGCTGGCAGAAAATATTTTGTTTGGTTCGCAGAAATGTCAGATGAATTTGATTTCAATAATGTAAAATAATAAGATTGTCCTTCTTGTTTTTTTTACTTAATTTTAGTTTGTTTTATAAATTACATGTATCAATATATTATAAAAATTTAAAAAATATTAAATTTTAATTTTATTGATTGATTATTCATTTCAATAAATTATAAAAATCATGCTAATAAACACTATAAGTTAAAATCATCCCAATTAGGGATGGTCATGGGTTGGGTTGGATCGGGTTTTTGGTCCACCCGACCCGACCCGAGAACAAGGGAACCTCTATCCGAGACCCTACCCGACTAAAATAAAGTTTCACCCAACCCGACCCGAATATATGAATTAGAAACCCGACCCGAAATAATAAAAAAATATTTTTATTCAATAAAAACAGTGACTTAATTGAAAAAAATTATATATAGAGGGGTATTATTGTAATTATTCATAAATATATAAGGTAAAGTTATATATTTTTTCGGGTCGGGTCGGGTATTTTTCACCCTAAACCCGAACCCGACCCGAATATCAAACTTAAAAAAACGACCCTACTCGACCAAAATAAAATTTCACCCGACCCGACCCGAAATAATAAAAAAATATTTTTATTTAATAAAAACATTGACTTAATTGAAAAAAGTTTTATATAGAGGAATATTATTATAATTATTACTAAATATATAAAGTAAAATTATATATTTTTTCGGGTCGGGTCGATATTTTTCACTATAAACCCGAATTGACTCGACCCGACCCGAATATCACACTTAAAAAATCTGACCGACCCGAATCCCAATCAAAATATTTTAATAAATTACTAAAAGATGATGAATGTACTATACCAAGCCTTTGAAAACTTGAACCAAATATTAAAAAAAATATATAGAATTAAATTTCAATTTTCCTTTATTCCAAATGATTCCTACTAACCAAACGCCATTAAAGAGGTGTTGAGCACCACCAAGCCATTTGTTTCAGGAACACCAAAGAACGTCAAAGATCAAACAAACACAAGCTGACATCACAGACGTTTCTTCACTCTGCATCCGAAACACACTATTTTTTATTATTAAAGTACTTTTTTCCTACTTGCAAATGTAAGTGGATGTTTTTCTTTCTTTTAGTGCTATGAAAAATGTATTTAATAATGTAAATAAAGGATTTCTTTTATCAGCTGAAGCCTTACAGCTCTGTCTGTTTTTCTCCCTAGATTTCTTCTGTTTGCAGCTTGGGGAACTTGGATCAGGTACTCTAGAACTTCCTTATCTTGATTTCTTTGTCTGGGTACTTTTATTTAGTGGAGTTGGCTACTGGGTAGTTTGAAAAATGCAACTTTGGGGACCCTTTGCATCTGGGAATTTTGGAACTAGACTTTACTTTCACAGTTGCATTGCTTGCCATTATTGGTTTTTTTATGCTCAGAATGTGAAAGGGTGTTTTAGATACTTTAGTTTCTCAACTTCTTTTCATAAATGTCTCTCTTTTTCTTTGTGCAAGACGTCTAAAATACTGGTTTGATGAGCAAAATTGATGCGCAATAGGTTTTGAACCACTGTGGAGTCTGGTCTGGGTCTAATATCTCCTGCTAACGCTAAGATTTCCCTTACATTATGTCAACAACATGTTCATACAGGACAACCATTGTTGAGGAAATGGACTTACAGTAGTATCTACTCTGTAATGGATATGGAAATTTACTTTTACTAACCTTTTGAGTTAGCATTTGCCTTTTAGAAGATATGTATATTTTTCAGACACCAAGGTCAATAATTTTCATAGTTTTGCCATATACATAGATTTCTTGTGGCTTTTATGAGTTTATTTTATTTTCTTTGTTCCATAAATTCTTAGTATTTGCCAACCATTGTCTGCTATATCTGATTCTTTTATTTTCTGAACATCTTAGTATTTAAGCCCCGGCTGAGAGTTAACAGCACAAGACAGTTCATTTAAGTTGGCATTTGTTTATGATCAGATGATTCCTGACAGATGTTTTGGAAGCTTGCTTCTGGTTCTAATTGGCATGTTTTCCAATGTTATAGGTAATTTAGAAGTTTTCATTGATTGTTTATCTTTTAGGCCAAGTTTTATTTGAAAGCTTAGTATTATTCAAGTCTGCTATTACTTTTCGGGTTAGCCCTTCCTTCAAGTCTTTAAGCATCAGTTGTAAAATCATACTTATTTTAAAGGATATTTCTTATTAATGAGTTTTTTTTTAATTAGTTTTACTTTTTTATGTTTTTTTTGGTTTTCTGATAGTAACCACTTTCTGTACATTTTATGGATCAAATACCACCAATGAAACCATTTTAGTCATGCTTACTGGTAATAAATACTTTGAATAGGTTCAGTCTGTGTTTTCTTGTCATAGTATTTAGAAGGTGCCTACCGGACATGCCTTCGAAGATCTAGAGACCATTGAAAATCGAAATGCTTGTGTTCTGTTTGTTTCCATTTCTGTTTTTTCTTTTTAACAGGTGCACTGATGATCACCATTGAAGCAAATATAAGCTAAAAAATATGAAGCACAGTGGATTTGTCATTATGTTATATGAATTTACCTCTAATAATCCAATGGGGCAATTTGTTTTTCATTTGAGTTACAAGGGTGTTCTTAATGTTAGGTGATCTACATAAAAATATCATGCAATTGGGTTTTTGGCTGGTTCTTACTGACATAAATTATTGACTTTATAGGTGCATTTGTCGGGGTAAACATAGGCACTGATGTTTCCAGCATGCCGTCAGCTTCAGATGTCGTTTCCATCATCAGAGCCCATCAAATCACTCACGTACGACTCTATGACGCTGACTCTCACATGCTGAAAGCCCTAGCTGGCAGTGGGATTGAAGTAATAGTCGGTGTGACGAATGAGGAAGTCCTAGGAGTCGGACAATCGGCATCAACAGCAGCAGCGTGGGTCAACAAAAATGTTGCATCCTACGTGCCTGCAACCAACATTACAGCCATTGCTGTTGGCAGTGAGGTTCTTTCCTCAGTCCCTCGTGTTGCACCGGTTTTAGTTTCTGCTATGAACAACCTCCATAAAGCTCTTGTTGCTTCTGATCTGAATTTTCATGTTAAAGTCTCGAGCCCCCAGTCCTTGGACATCATCCCCAAGCCTTTCCCTCCATCTACTGCTGTCTTTAATTCCTCACCGAACTCTACAATATACCAGCTTCTTCAGTTTTTGAAGAACACCAACTCCTATTACATGTTAAATGCGTATCCCTATTATGGTTTCACTAATGGAAATGGCATATTTCCAATTGATTATGCACTTTTCAAACCTCTCCCCTCCGTCAAACAAATTGTTGACCCGAACACTCTCTTCCACTATAACAGCATGTTTGATGCGATGGTTGATGCAACCTATTATTCTATGGATGCTCTCAACTTTTCTGGGATCCCCATTGTTGTCACAGAAACAGGATGGCCTTCTCAAGGTGGAGCCAATGAACCTGATGCGACTGTGGAAAATGCTGGGACATTCATTAATAACTTGATCCAGCGGGTTTCAAATAATTCGGGTCCGCCCAGTCGGCCGAATATTCCCATAAAAACATACATTTACGAATTGTTTAACGAAGACAAGAGACCTGGGCCTGTCTCCGAGAAGAACTGGGGGATGCTTTCTACGAACGGCACCACAGTTTTTCCTTTGAGTTTGAGTGGTTCTACTCAGACTATGGGAAATGCTACCGCAGTTTTCTGTGTGGCGAAAGACAACTCCAGTGAAGATAAGTTGCAAGATGGACTTAACTGGGCATGTGGGCAAGGACAGGCCAACTGCAGTGTTATACAATCCGGGCAGCCATGTTATCTCCCAAATAGCATCAAGAACCATGCATCTTATGCTTACAATGATTATTATCAAAAAATGCGTAGTGTTGGCGGGACATGTGATTTCGATGGGACAGCCACAGTTACCACTAATGATCCAAGTAAGTATGACAAGTTTTCTCATCATCTATCTGTAATTTTGATCTTTTAAAAATACATTACATCCTCGACTGAGTTTTTCCCGCCCTGCCAAGATTGTTCCCTAGAGAATGTTCTATGTCTGAATATAAACATATGTATATTATAAATAAACTTTGTGCCAAGCTTCGTGCTGTATCTGAAATCGAGTTCGCGACTTTTCATAACCCTTTTTTTTGCGACATCAACCGTATTGCATACTCATGTTCTTCCTGTCATTGCAATACTCATGCTCTTCCTGTCATGATATCCGGCTTTTTCTTTCTTGTTTTTGGATAATAACTCCATTGGTGAATAACTCGTGCAGGTTACAGGTCCTGCATATTTACGGGAAGGTGAGGTTCAACATCTTGTGCAGTTAAATATGTTCCATATTATCAATTCCTTATATAGGATCATGACCTTTTTCTTTTATTGAAACAGTTCTAATTCAAGCGCTGGCAGAGGGCTTTTTCCTGCCGGAGATTTCGGTCCTGTAAGTCCACTGGGAGAGGGTCCAAAGCTTTCGGTATGGAAGATTCAGTTTGCAATCTCAACGGCTTGTCTTTTCGTAATCTTGCTCTAACATTGGAAACTTCGTTGGGGTCGAAGATCATTACGCAATGAAATCTGCGACCAACGAACCATGATAACGGATTGTTATTTTTGATCTTTTACGAATCATGGTGGCATTCACTTGTTCATCTTTGACCATTATTGCTTACTCTTTCAGTTATCTGCTGTTGTTCAATGGTAGCAGTAGGCTGCCATTTCTAGCCATGAAATTTTAGGGAACTTGGATTTTGTTTTCTTCATTTTTATATTTATTCAATGTTAGTTGCCAAAGTAACATTTAATTAATGACTTTGACATTTTCAAACTGATCCTTAAATTTTAGGTACTTTATATTGTGATATATCATTCAACATTAACTTTTCAAGAAAAACTATAAATCTAAGTCATTTACATATATGCATATTGATTTTTTAGGGTAAACTACATAAATGACCATATAACTAAGAGTTAGGTTGCGAAATGACCACCATTTTCAAATTTGGCTCAATATGATCACTGAAATATTTAAATGGTTTTAATATAACCGCATGCCGTTAGCATTTAATAGAAATGTTTAGTTATAGTTAATAAAATTTGTATATTAGGGCGCGATCCTTGGAAAGTTACATATTCACGGCGTTGGAACCGTACTTGATTTTCTTTCATTTTAATCACAACTTGTATATGATTTGTTTCCTTGGATTTTCATTTAATGCAATTTGATCTTCTGTTTTTAATTTGTCTAATGCCTTTGTTTTTCCTACATTCAAACTTTAAACAAGTCTCCTAATGCAACACTGCTCGTCCACCTTCTAGAAGGCGCGCTGACTAGATCTTCTAGAAACTGTCGCTAACTGGACCTTCTAGAAACTGCCACGTCAGACCGTGTCATGCCCAGAGTCGTGCCCATGTCTCTAACCGTGACCAATTAATAAAAAAAATGCAGAATGCGCCCGTTTTACCACTAATTCTGGAAAGTCAGGCCCTGCACGAAAACAAGCATAACACAACCAAATTAGCACAATAAATCAATAAAATGAAAGAATTAACGAGCAAATATTAATGAGCAAATACTACCGATTATGAACACTCATCGATGAGTAAAAAGTCTATTGAACTTAGGCGCAAGATAAAGACACACACATTTTGTAGACGAGACATACTTTTTGTAAAATACTAGAATTTTTATTATTTTTATTCAAAATATTATACAACTTTTACTTTAATATTTTATATCGAATTAATAATGATTTGTTTTAATTGATATAAGAATAAGAATATATTAATAAAAAAAGTAGATGGAAATACAAATTCTGTAAATAAATTTTATTAATATTATAACTATATAATATTATAATTATAAAAATAATTATAAAAATAGTTATATATATATTTTTATTTATCTATATATTAAATACTTCTTATATAAAGCAGGGTGAGAGACATTAGGCGGTAATATAATGTTTATTATATTAATTTATTATATGAGATTGAATTGGGATTTTTAAATTGGAAACGTAAGAGATTTAATTTTTAAACAAAGTCACCAACTGAGACTTGCACTTCAAACTTTGGAAAGCATTCTGTACACAGCAGGCCCAATAAAAGAGCTTGAAATTATACAAACTAATGGGAACAAGTGATTAGAACATGCAAATCAAGGAAATGCAGAATCAGAACAGGAAGCAAGGAGAAAAAAAAGGTCATTCCATTCGCAGCCTTTAGGATGTATAACTGCTGGAGTCGAGCAATTGGCTTAGTGTTATCCTGTGAAACAGCTCCAGTGAGGGTGGATTACGAACCGACAGCACCCGAGAAACTTGCTGCATACTCGGTCGAGATTGTGGACTGGCATGTAAGCATTGTGATGCTACTTTCACAATGGAGACCACTTCTGCTGCCGTTTGTTTCCTCGGAGATGGAAGTCGCTCGTCTAACAGATCTTTCACTAGTAAATGACCGAAGGCTGATGACGATGAGCATGATGGAGAGAGTGAGGAGAACGATTACGAAATGAAAGATATCAGATCTCCGGGATGCCTTCCCATAAGCGTTTCCAATGTCACCACTCCAAAGCTAAACACATCGCATTTTTCATTGATGTGCATTGTATAAGCAAGCTCTACAAAAGAATAAGCATGCTCAAGTACACGATTATGGCTTCAGATTGTGTTCAACAATTTGCTTCGTCTAAATTCAGAACAATTACAGCATAAAAGAATGAAAAAAACATACCTGGAGCCGAGTAACCAAAAGTGCCTTCAAATGGTGTCCAATTGGATGAGTCAGGCTTTAGAAGCCTAGCAGCGCCAAAGTCTGCAACGTGAGCCACATAGTCTGAATCGAGCAGAATATTCTTGCTTGAAATGTCCCGATGGACTATGGGAGGGGAGCAGTCATGGTGCATATAAGACATAGCATTAGCCAAGCCTTTAACAACATTTACCCTCTTCTTCCAATCAAATTCCGTCGCTTGTTCATCACTCTTTAGTATCTTCTCCAGGCTTCCCCCTTCCAAGAACTCGTGTACCAAAAATGAGTGTCGGGGATGGGAACAGAAACCATGAAGCTTCAGAATATTCCGATGGCGTATTTCGGTCAAGGCCTGGATCTCGCTGTTAAAAGCTTTTTGATCTACCACCCCATCTTCTGAAAGTTGGTGAAGCCTTTTCACAGCAACCATTTGGCTATTAGACAATTGTGCCTTGTAAACGCTTCCGTATCCCCCTACTCCAATGCAGTATTTGGAGTCAAATTCTTCAGTTGCTTCGACGATGTTTTCGTACGCCATTTTCCCATCAATGTTGAAAACTGCAAACATATCTTCACTTACTACAACCTGTGGCGTGTTCTCGGTATGCTTTTCTCTTCGCTTTGAAGAATAAAGAATCCCAAGGACAATGGATACAAGTAGTAGTGTGCATGAAATAGGGACTACAGTTGCAATCACAATTTTACTTTTCTTCTTCTGATCTGCAGTATGGTTTAAATTTGATGAACATGATTCCAACCCTGTGATATTTCCGCACAAGCCTTTGTTGTTTTAAAAGCCTCAAATGAAGCCTCTCGAAAGGCCTTGGCATGTGGAAGAGGACCCTCCAACTGATTGTGGGATATATCAGCAGATGTTAAGCTTAACATACCATCAAAAGTTGAGGGAATGCGACCGAAGAGCTTATTGTGAGAGAGGTTCAGCTTTTCTAATGATTTCAAGTTCCCAACTTGCTCCGGTATTTTACCGATCAACAAATTGTGACTGAGATCAAGAACTTGAAGAAAAGAAAAGCTACCAACCTCAAAAGGAATTCCTCCACTGAATCTATTGGCACTCAGATTTAGTTCCAAGAGTGTCTTGAACTTGCTCAACCATGGTGGAATGGAGCCATTTAAGTTGTTTGCAGCCAAGTTAAGACCAGCAAGTGCAGACAACATTCCGATTTCTGAAGGAATACTGCCCGAGAGATGATTATCATTCAGCGTAAGGTTGAACAAGAATTTCAGCTGTCCAGTTCCTTTGGAATGCCACCGGTTAGATGATTTGAAGAAAGACCGCACACTCTAGCTGAGTCGCCTTTCCAAGTTCCAAAGGTATCTCACCGGATATATTATTGTTCGAGAGCCTTAGACTTGTTAGATTGTGGCACTGACCCCATTTTGACGATAGCTCACCAACCAATTTATTATAACTCAGATCAAGATAGTTCAGTTTCGGGTATATGCCTAAATCTTCAGATATATTCCCTGTGAGTAGATTGTGTTCAAGCCGAACTCTGTATAAGCTAGTACAGTTCTTCAAGCTCTCGGGGATTGGACCTGTGAAATAGTTTCCATATGCAGTAAAATTTTCAAGTACTCCACCAAGGCACACATGTTGTGGTAAACGGCCAGTCAAGTAGTTCTCACCGAGTTGAAACGATTTCAGATTTGTAAGATTGTTCATCTCTGCTGGAATGAAACCACTGAGACTGTTGTTCAACAGCCTTAAGTTAACAAGAGAACCTAGCATCCAATTTCTTTTGGTATGGACCCCAAAATTTTATTGCCAGAAAGACAGATCAGATAAATCGGTTAAATTTCCAATAGATGCAGGGAGAGAACCCACCAGATTATTTTCAGAGAGGTGGAGCCCATTCAAGGACTTCAACATTCCAATTTGTTGAGGTATAGATGCAGGTTTGTCAAGTTTCCAATGGAAGGATGAATTTCACCAATAAGACTATTGTTGTACAAATAAAGAGTTTCAAGGGAACCCAACATTCCAATTTCTTTAGGTATGGACCCTGAAATTTTATTGTTAAAAAGGCTAAGATAAGATAAGTTGGCCAAATTTCCAACAGATGGAGGGAGAGAACCGATCAGATTATTTTCAGAGAGGTCAAGTACATTCAAACACTTCAACATTCCAATCTGTTGAGGTATAGAACCAGAGAGTCCATTTTTGTATAAGTAAAGAAACAGCAGGTCTGTCATGTTTCCTATAGAAGCAGGAATTTCACAAGAAAGATGATTGGAAGACAAGTCGAGGTATGTTAATCTCGATAGCTTACCAACATCTGATGGAATGGTTCCACTGAGATGATTGGAGCTTAGATCAACCACAGTAAGTTTGGGTAAAGAAGAGAAGTTAAAACCATGAAGCGAACCTTTCAAACCGGAACTCGAAAGGTTTAAATGGCTTACACTTGTAGACTTGTCACAAATGATCCGGTCCAGTTACAGGGGCCATTTCTATCCCAAGAAGAGAGGAATGACTGGCTTTGAGCATCAAGACTGGCCTTCCATTTTAGAAGAGCATCGGCTTCCTTCTGTCCTGCCAATGATTCATCTCTAAAAGTGGCAGAAACAGAAGCAAAGACATGGCAAGAAGAAAGAAGCAGCAGGGTAAAGAAGAAGACCCTGAATGATGAAGATGTTAACTTGTTGGCAAAAGGTATCATGGCTTGAAATTGCAGGGGGAAGTATCGGTTACACTTAACTATAAAGGGAAACCAGTTGCTGTGAATATGATTAAGAAGAAAAAGTATTACATTTGTAGCTAACTTACTTTTCCATACCCTTTGACATTTCAAGCATGCAACCAACAGGGTAGCACCGTCTTCATCGGGGTTGAAACTTATGGGGGTGACCACCTGCTTCATATCCTGCTTTTTAAGTACCATTATTTTCAGCCTTTCATTTTCTGAAATAACCTTAACATAGGGCTTCCCTCAACTGACATCTTCCTAGAGCTTCCAATAATCTCAGAAAATCTGAATGTATTAGGATACTCGTCTAATAACTTGAGTCAAAACTAATAATTGAACGTGAAGTTTTGAAAAAATTGAAAGTTTAGCTACTAAACGGCAAAATTAATAATTTAGGTTCTAAAAGAGTTAAATTTTTAACGACGACGTATTAAAATGAAATAAAAAAAACGTTAGATATAATTTTAAAAAATTAAATTTAGATATTAAAACTGAAAACTAATAGTTCACATACTACATGTTTTAATTTACCTTTAATTTTATTGATAATTATTGGTTTGATAAAACTTTCTTTCATGAGAAATATATACACAATTAATAAAAGGCTTAATGCCTAAATAAGTGCTCAAACTGTCCCTTTTGTATCCAATAAGTGCCTACATTATTTTTTAGTCCATCTAGGCGTCTAACGTTACAAACGTTACCTTTAAGTGCTCGGGCCATCAACGACATTGGTTTTCCCTATTAAATGACACGTCTCGCAATCTAATAATTTTAAAATTTATTTTTTAAAAATATTGAAAATATTATTATATTTAAAAAAAAACTAACTTCTTTTAAATTCCAAAAATCCTCAAATCCCTAAAATCCCAAATACTAACAAACACTAACCCGTCGTTAGCACCCTCCCGACCACGACCACTGTTGTCAACGTAGTCCTTGCCATCATCCTAGTTATATGTGTTGTAGTTGTCGTCGATTCATCGTCGAATCGCGTGAGATCACGATTTTCATCATAGGATTCGCGAGGTATAAAACATCGATTTATCGTCTATCGGTCATCAACCGATCATGATTTCCTAAGGGTTTTGGTCTCCGGGAGGAGGGGAGGTAGGGTGGAGCTTCTTCGACGGCAGAGAGCGACGGTCGGCGTAGGTTTAGAGGTTGGAATGAAGATTTTAAAGTTTAGGGATTATTTCGAATGAGCCAACTCTTTCCCGACTCCCAACTCTTAACTTTCTTTGCACTTTAAACAATAGAAAAAAATCCGGCTGCCACGATCTTCGACCGAGGAAACAGCTAATCGAGCACTTATTACACATCAAACAATGCAGTGTACCTTATCGTTCGATAACTTGATTTGCCCCGTTTTGCCTTTCGATGCGCAGATGTTGAAGTTCGTAGGCGGAACATTAGCTGTGCAAATGATGGTCGCAGGTGTGGCTCCCTGGCATGAAAGGAAACGGCAACAAAGAGGATTAATGCAAAATTTCCAACAATGCAGGCCACTAAAATATACGAGCTGACTAAGAAGGCTATCGGAAGGTTCGTTAAAGTTACGGCATTTTGACTTGATGCATGCAAAACACTCCCATCTTGCCAGATGCTTATATGGTTGCCCAAGAGACGAGAGACCGACTGAACATTCAAAAGAACTTAGTGGAAGCAAAGAAAGATCCGTGAAAACAGTTTTAAAATCATTCTCGTTGTATAGAAAAAAGATGCGACATGAGTAGCATCAAACTCACGTTTGCCAACAATCTCGAATGATCTGTGCAACCATCGGATCAATGTCTTCGGGGATTTCTAGATGCTTATTTTCGAATCCAACAGCTCCGACAATTTGCATTGGATTCAAACCTTTCCAGGGAATGCATAGAGTAGCCAATTCCCATAATATCACGCCGAAACTGTACACATAACATCTGCAGCCAAACCAGTCTATTTGTATAAGAAACATAATAGATACATCAAAGAGTAAAAACATTCTATTTGACAATTAAAGTGACTTACTTCTCATTGGCCGGCTCATTCCTTAAAATTTCCGGTGCCATCCATTCAGGCTGCAGTTCAGCAACAAACTTTTACTTCAAGAAAAGGATATGATGGATTTGGAGAAACATTGAGATTATCACTTATGAATATTACCGTTCCAGCAGTAGACTTTGAGGATAGGAAAGTATGATGCTTCATGCGTGACAACCCAAAAGCACAGACCTGAACAGAGAAGCAAATCGGGGAAAAATTGAGAGGCACCTTTCTGTAGAAAATAAAGCAATCTGTTAAAGATGCTTAAATAAACTACAAGCAAAATCAAGATGCTTGGGAAGAAAGTAGTTTTGAGATAAGAACCTTTACGACCCAGTTCTTATCAACAAGGAGGTTTGGTGTTTTCAAATCTCGATGCACTATAGTAGGATTGCTTGTGTGAAAATACTTCATTCCTTTTGCCTGCAAACGACAAAAGAGCTCCACTTTAACTATTTGAAAACACATGCAGGGAGAAGCATGGAAGGAAGCGGGTCCGAGTGGGGAAAGTAATTTATGCACTTGTGGTTCCTACCACATCAAGAGCCATTCGCATTCTTCTTTTCTCATTGAGTTGAATATTGAATCGATGCAGCAGCTTATACAAACTTCCCCTGCATAACGAGGGAGGGGCAAGAAGAAATTAAGACAGGATGACCAACCTTGTCGTTTTAAATTAATCAATTTCTCAATAGAAACCAGATCAACAATAGAGAGATACAGAAATTTATCTGAATATAAATGAAAACTCAGACCTAGAGAAGGATTCCTTGTTTTCATACACAGAAAAGCACAAGATGCAAGCACCAAGTACCATACATTGCAGTAAATGTATCAAAATCCTGGCATAAGGACAAAACATGGACAACATTCTGATCGGGACAGACTACAGGGTACAAGAATTAAGATTATTTTCAGGATCCATCCACAATTTTTTCATTATAGTTTACAACATTGTAGTTCTGCAAATAGCACACAACATATGAATTAGTTTTCCTTTTAAAAAGAAAAGGGAATAAAACAATTAATTGGTCCTGACACTACTCACTGAAGACACGAACATGAACCTTTCAGCCTGTACAGCTAAATCCTAAATATTAGGTTTAGCATATTCGTCAAGGCTTGCTTGGTTACTAATTCATTTTGGGTTTAAATCCAATTAAATTATTTTATTTTTTTCCGCGTAAACTTAAACAAGTTATAAAACATATGTATTATCTCAATAACAAGTGTGAGAATTAGCTCAGCTGTTAAGGCATGTCTAGGTTAGCCTTGGGGCCCCAAATAATTAAATTACATTATACAAAAGGTAAAATGTGTCACAATTTGTTTGAGAAATAAATTTATTAAATTAAATTGAAATTAGAACCTAATTAAAAACTAAGAATTAAAATTAATCTTGATGATCAAATTGATTAATTTTAAAATCTAGGGGATTTAATCTATAAATTTAATACATGACTAGAATAAAAGATTTTAAAGTTAATGCTCAAATTGAGGCATTAGACAAATTAAAAACAGAATCAATATCAAATTGCATTAAATGAAAATCCAAAGAAACAAATCATATACAAGTAGTGACCAAAATGGAAGAAAACAAAGCAGGGTACCAACGCCGCGAATACGTAACTTTAAAAGGGCCCGTATCCTAATTATACAAATTTTATTAACTGTCACGTAAACACTCCCGTTAAATGTTAATGGTAGGTAGTTATATTGAAACCATTTAAATAGTTCAGTAGTCATACTGGCGTAAATTTAAAAATGGTGATCATTTCGTGACCGACACTTAGTTATGTGATCATTTATGTAGTTTACATTTTTTTAAAACTTTAAAATTTATAATAACATATTAATTTTCAACTGATTATGTGGTACAATCTTAGTTTGTCACATAATCGCCTGAACATTAAATCCGATTTTAGAACAAAATTAAGAAAAATTATAAAGTTTCAAGATTAATGTACACAAGATTTAGGGACTAAACTAAGAAAAGTTGACAAGTTTAGTGACTAATGTTACTTTATGCCTTTACTTTTTTATTTTATTTTTTGCATTATCAACAAGGAATCAACACCAGATTTTAAATTAATCCAACTAGAGAGTAATATGAGAGATCCGATCTAGGCAGGGATTTGTGAGAGATTGATGTCGTGATGCAAGGGAAAAAGAAAAGGGGATGGGGGAGTTAGGGATGCAGAAATCAGGGCAGAATGAAGAACATAATTAGAAAAATCCAATTGATACAATGGATAAGTATAAACGACATCGTTCTCTTAAAATGATGTACATAGAGGGGCTGACAAAAGGGACATGCCATACTAATAGCAGCCCAATTGAGGATATAAGCCCACACTTGCAAGATATCCGAAAGGAAGATTGTAACATCCTCAAAATATTAGGAGTAAATAGAATCATTTTAGATCTTTCACGATAATTAAAGAATTATCAAGATTGGGGGGCTATTATATTAATTTACCCAAAATTTGGGTATTTCAATATCCCCACGTTCTTTTTCTTTTCTTTTCCTTTCCCTTCAACTGCAAAACCTCTCTCTCTCTCTCCCTCTCTCCCTTTCCGTTTTTATGTTTTGTTAACATTTTCGTCGCTGTTCGCCGTGTGTATCACCACCAACATCCTCATCTTCAGCTCGTCATCGTTGTTCGTTCCGTACCCTCCCGTTTATCGTTTGTCATTTTCGTTTGCGTCGAGTGAGATAATAGAGTCTCGGTTTTTTAAGAAAACTCAATTTCGTCGCTCTCCATTGTGATTCGATCTCGATAAGTGACTCTCCGCCATTTTAATTTTTTTTTTTGTATTTTCCCATAATTTTCTGGCCACCGAGTGGCATCCCACGCGTCACCGTGTGCGTGTGGGAATGTCCTGAAGGTTAAAATGGACTGAACCAATTACCTTTAGATCGAACCAGTTGAACCCCTGACCCATTGATCGACCCAACTCGTTGACTGACCTGATCCATTGACTTTGATCGTTGACTGTAACCGTCGTGAGTATGTTTTCACATTTTGTTTTGCCAAATTCTGTCCTGAAAGCCCTTGTTTGTGTCATTTATCATTTGAAGTCATAAGTTTATTTAGTAAATTATGGGATTTTAGACTCACCTTTAAGTGTTATTTTCTGAAGGTATTCCCGTGTCTCCAGATCGTTCTCCTGTAGACCCTAATCACTCATGTTTTGCTCAGTTTGATTCCATTCACTTGTTTCGAGATACATGTAAGTCCTATTTAGTGATTTAATAATTTATTTCTATTTAGATGTTGGTATATCATTTAAGGGTTTTATTTTTAGGTCCCCACTCTGCAAGACCTAGTACGATTGACCATGGGAAGTGTAAGGCATCGGTGTTACTTAGCTACTATAGATGTGTCTTCTTTACCTGTTCGATTCTCTGATCTATTATGTTATTATGTTAAATATTAATGCCTAAAGCATGTTCAAATTTTGATTACAAATATGTGTGACATTTATGATTCTGAATATTGTTGTATCATTTGTGATATGTTCATTGGTGCATTCTTGATTCTGTATGGGATTTATTCCCCGTTCTGACACTGCAAGAGATTAATTCCCCGCTTTGACATCTGTATAGGATTAATTCCCCGTTCTGACATCTGTATGAGATTAATACTCCATTTTGTTTTCGCTTGGGATCCTCATTTGAGGTGTAAATCCCCATTCTGATTTCTGTTTCTGATTGAGATCTTTTTAGGAGGGAACGACCCTATTCTGTTTATTCGTGACGAAAGGTAAAGTAATGTGCTATTGGTGTTGCATTTTGATTTATTGTTACATTTTATTTGTACTATTTTGGATATACTTCGATATATGCTTTACTTTAGAGAACACACTGAGCTTTACAACTCGCTTTCTAGTTTCTGTTAGGGATGTAAAAAGTTGACCCGACATGCAAAACTAACTGAAACCAACTTGAGTCAAAACGTTTTTGACTCGAGGTAGTGATGATCCGAAATCGATTTGAGTTTGAACTGGTGTTGACCTGAACCCGAGTTGGACTTAGAAATTTACAAGCTGCACCCGACCTGAACCCAAATTGAACCTGATAATGTGAAAACCCAACCCGACCTACATCCGACCTGATATGAAATCAAACCCGAGATTAACCTGGTAAATAAATGTTTTTACCTAACATGTTTTCAACATGAACTGTTATAAACCCGATCTGTAATTGAGTCAACCTGTAAAAGATCTGACATGTTATTAAACTGAATTGATATTTACCTGACTTGTATTTAACTGTAAGTTGTAATTGATGAAGTTAGGAAATTATAAATTTCTAATATTATAGTGTGACATAATACATCTTCACAATTTAGAATGCATGATTAACTATGATAATTTTTTTGAAAGGTGATTAATTATGATAATTAAATCAAGGGTAAAGTATAGTAATGGTCACTGAACTTTTCTAAAGCTTTCATTTAGGTCCTCTAACTTTTAAAACTTGCAATATAGTCCCCCAACATTTAGTCCATTTTCAATATGGTCCCCAACATTTATTCCGTTTGCAATATGGTCCCCAACGTAACTGTTGGGGACCATATTGCAAACGGAATAAATGTTGGTAGATTGTATTGCAATTTTTAAAAGTTAGGGGACCTAAATGAAAGCTTTAGAAAAGTTCAGTGACCATTACTATACTTTACCCTTAAATTAATTGGTGAATTAGATTAATATAGAAGAGAATCGATTGAGTTAAAAAAAACAACTATAAAAAAACCAATCAAACAAATCGAATGCTCACATCTTGCTTCTCCTGTTATAAAATTTGATTTAAACTGAGTTATTAAATTTTTCAAAGGGTCGGAAATAAATATTTTGTTATTTAACGAAAGGTAAAAATGGATTAAATTAAGTCCATAAATGTTTAAGAGGGACTAAACCTAAAATTGTATCATTTAAGAAAAATGGATTAAATTTTGGTTGTTTATGTTTGTTCCAGAAAACGTGTTGAACCCGAAGTTTCTTATTGTGGAAGTCTACAAACTTAAGGACACAATTATAACGTAAACAAAAGTCTACCAAATTTCCATTGTTAAGAAGAAGTTTTGGCTGAAATCAAGTACTAGAAAGATGTTATAGAAGGAACATTTTCTAACAACGATGAATGGATTCTTTCAAATTATGTTATCCACCCCTAATACTATATTTATGTTTTGAGTTACTACCGCTAACGGACCGAATAAAGTTCCTTTGTACATCACGACAAGCAGCCGCCGTCGATGTACTTTCATTTTGATATCATACTTGATTATCTAGAAATTGAGTGTCTAGTTTTCTTTTCAAATGTGTTACCTTTAAGACCGAGTCCATTGCATTAATTAAATTAACTAACTTTTATTATTCACATGGCACCACCATTTTTGGCATGCATCTCTCGTTGTGTGGCTAGGGTTCTTCCACCTTTCGGTTTGATAAACAGCCCTAGGAATGACTGGCATTTACCGTGATGAGGAACACACAATGAGCTAAAAGTTTTAAACAAGCAGTGTTGGAACGATGTGATCGTTTGATTAATCCCGAAAGGGGCTGAACCTACAGCACCATCAACAACACAGTGTTGACTTCATGGCTGAACATCAATCTTTGTTTCAACATGTCTTCCCGCAACTGTGTTTTTCACATTTTTGTCGGTTTGAACATAGGAAGACACTTTCTTTTTATTTTCCTTCTTTTCATTCAATCTTGCAAACAAAGAAAAAGAATGA